GAAGGAGGGACAATCTCCTCCTGTACCAGTCAGATCTGATTTGATGGTACACACATTTTTAAAAAAATAAATAAATAAATAAAAGAATTTTACTTTTCCAAGAGGGTAGTGTACTGGTGGGGAGGGCTGGGAGGGGAGAAAAATGCAACAATGAATGAATGGAAATCCAAAGTCTCTGTAAATTTTCATTAAAATCAATAATAAATTAAAAAAAATAATCTAGGGTTGGATTTGGGACAATCTGTGTATAGCAAGCAACAAAGGTTATTTTTCAGTGAAATTTAATCACCAAACTCTACATTATTAGTAGGAATTATGTAGGCAAAAGAATGCCAAGGCTTCTGAAATCTATAGAAAAAATTTAAATTCTGTATTACTTTGCGGAGCTCTGATGGTATAGTGGTAAGGAACTGTAATATCAAACCAAAGGTACATGGTTTGAATCTGTCAGCCACTTTGTGGGAAAAAGATGGACAATCTCCTCTTGTGCAATTTCAGCCTCTGAAAATCCACTGGAGGGTCAGCTATGCGTTGGTTCTGATTCAAAGGTGCTAAACAACAACATTCTTACTTAAATCCTCGGAAAGAAAGGCAAAAGTTCTCTGAACAGAGGAAAGGGCCTTAACTAAGGCTGTGTTGTCAGCAGCAGTGCAATACAAAGCAGGACAGTCTCTGAGTGGCTCCTTTCACCTGCTGTCTTTTAGCGTGTCCTGGCTCTCCAGCCCCTCACTGAGATGACCAGGTCTCTGGAGTCTGAGGCAGGTGGCTCCTGGGAAGCACTGTTTCTGACACACCCACCTCTTCAGGGCATGCTGCAGAATGGCTCCCTAAGCGTGCACCTGCTCTTCCTACCCCAACACTTGAAGAAAGGTTAGGATCTAGAACCAAGGGTACTTTACCTGGAGCTCCTAGATACAACTGACTTCCCTGTTCTCCATCATGTCCTGCTTCATCCTTTGGGTATTTCCCATCAGTTGTTTCATCTGGACCTTCTGACTGTTCACCTATGTCTACACTTCTTGGACCGACTCCCTCCACCCCTTGGTGGTCTCTGAGACCAAAAGTGGGGTTTGAACTTTGAGCTTCTTTGGTGACACTGGCTGTGACTGGGGTCTCCTGTGCCTGAGAATTTACAGATGGGTCATTTTCCAGATCCTTTTGAGAATCTGTGGAGATAAAAAGTTATCATTTATATTGAAAAAAATTATCTTTTTTCCTTAAATAAAAAGTAGGTCAAAGCAATGATCATTATGTCAGCTAAAACTATGAGGCTAAAGGGGAGTTTTGTAATGGATGAAACAGAAAGACATGTGAAGCCATAGATCAGACTGAACATTACAAAAAAGAGGGAGAGCCAGACATCTCCTTATATGATGTCACAGAAGTACAGCAACCACAGATAAAGCATTGTGAACCTGATCAAGTCTAGATCTACCTAACCAGTTTCAAAGAAATAAAAGGGCAAGAAATTCCAATTATGCCTCAGGAACATAATCCGCAAAACCCAGAGTGTGGGAAATCCCGAGGAGTAAAAACTATTGTTTTTAATTTGCGTTTTTTTTAAAAACAAAAACCAAAACTCCACAAACAAAAAACAGGGCAATAAATTTAAAAAAAAAAAAAAAAGAGCAAGGAAAGAGAGAAAAAAATCTATAGATTAAAGAGGATTTAAGAGACAAATCAACTAAATAGGGAGCACTGGTGGGCAAGGAGTTATGCTGCCAATCCAAAACTTCACAGTTCAAATGCACCAGCAGTTCTCAGGGAGAAAGATCAGCAATCTCCTTCCATGTGATTTACAGCCTGAGCTGATTACAATTCTACGGCAATGAACAACAGTAATCACCTAAATACACTATGTGGAACTTGTTTATATCTAGTTTTGAACAAATCAGTGATTTAAAAAATATACTTATGAAAGAGAAAATTTGAATACTGGAGGTTTGATGATATTAAGGAACCATTTTCCACCTTATTTAGGTATAATTAAAGTATTGTGATTAAGTTTGGAAAAAAATCTTTATGTTGTTGTGTACCATCAAGTTGGAAACAACCCATAGCTGACCCTCTAGCAGGTTTTCAGAGACAGTTAATCGCATGAAAAGAGACTGGCCATCCTTCTCCTGCAGAGCACCTGGTGGATTCGTACTGTGTGCCTTTGGGACTGCAATACAGATTCTTACCAACGGGCCAAAAGAGGATCTTCAGAACTTGCTTCAAATTAATGATGAGAAAGGGAGAAATAAAAGGGTATAGATGAAATAAAGGGAGCTCTGGTGCTGTAAGGACTTGCAATGCTAACCTAAAGGTGGTCAGTTCAAATACACCAGGAACTTCAAGATGTCCATGCTCCTCCTGTGTGACTTACAGCCTCTGAAAACCTGCTGGAGGGTCAGCTATAAACAGGTTCCCACTCCACAACAATGAGAAGTAAAATGATACAATACCAGTTATATCTTGATTGTAATTAAAAATTGTTGAGTTAATCTCATATTTCTTTCATGTTTTATGTGAGAAATTTTTTATACTAAGCTTGAAAAAATAAAAAAGAGCAAGCCAAGAGATATATCCACCATCTGACCAATTGTGAATTGGGGCCTTTATTTAATCTTTATTCTAACACACTCAAGCCTATGAAAAAAGAAAATCAGTAAAATGTGTATAGGGATCCAAGGGGGAATGGGTGGAGCAGAGGGGTGAAGGTGGGCAGCAGGTAAATCAATTTGGTGGGTGGAGGGATTGGGGGTAAAATTGAGCAGACATCTGGAAAGACAGGGTAATAATGAGCATAGTTCAATGGTGATTACTTTTATAAAACATAAAGGGAATGATTGTACAAAACAAAATGTGAATAAAGGTGAGTGTGAAACACAAGGTATATGAACTTTGTAAGCAAACCAACATAAAGAAAAAAAGTCACATCACACACTCTGAACAAGTCAGAGTTTCTAACAAGCAATATTCCAAATGTTAAAAAAAATTAAAAATAAAAGAAGGAAGAGCTAATTGGGGAAATCTGAATTCTTTCTGAATATGGTAATATTAAGAAATTAACTGTCAATTTATTTTTAGGTGTCATAATGTTATTGTCCGTACATTTCTGAAAAAGAATCTTTAAGAAATGTAAACTCAGGGGAGCTCTGGTGGCCTAGTGGCAAGGAGCTGCAACTACAATCCCAGAGACGCATGGTTCAAATCCACCAGATGCTCTGCCAGGGAAGGAGGGACAATCTCCTCCTGTACCAGTCAGATCTGATTTGACGGTACACACACACAAAAATAAAAAAAAAAAATTTAAAAAAAAAAAAAGTGTAAACTCTTCACAGAGAACGTAATACCTGGGCTGGATATTGAGATAATCTAGGAAAAGCAGCTTGCAGACAGGAGCTGAAGCTGGGCAGGCTTCTCCCAGGATTCTAAGCCCCTTATCACCAAGTCAGTACCAACTCACAGCAATGTTCACTGTTCTACTTTAGCATTTTCTTTCCCCCAGTAAACAATTCAGAATAAACACATTCTCTGTCCCTCTGAACAATCAATTTCATATCTTATACACAAAAAGCAGAAGGAATAACTTTATTTTATCCTCTAGAATGAAATGATCCCCTGCAGTATAGCCTACCAAGCTTGCCTTACTTTTAAAAATGAAACTCTAAAGATCTGCCTACCATAGTCTTTTTTAAAGATGTACTGTATCTTTTTCAAAACGATAAGCACCTCCTATTGGAGTCTAAAATGTTTACATATTTCTTATATTGTGGTTGTTGCTGTTGATATGACGTTGAATAAAAACCAACTCATAGCTGACCATTCAGCAGATTTTTCAGATGTTATACACTGCATGGGAGGAGACTGCCAATCTTTCTCCATGGAGCGGTTGGAGGATTTGAATTACATGCCTTTGGCACCACCAAAGCTCCATTTGTATTAGGATCAATAAATAGAAAATGTTTAATAATAATAAATTCATCAAAATGATATACATTGAATTAGTGTAACTTTGAATTAGTAACTTTAAAACTTCATGTTTAAATATCAGAGATGTTCTTTTATCACAGCACTAGTTTTGCACACTTATTTTTGCAGAGTTTTTTTTCATTAAATAAAATTTTTATTTTTATACTGGTTTACTTACAAAGAAGTCTGTATACACTGATTTTCACACCAAATCTTTCTCATTTCCTTTACCTAACCCTCCCTCCACTCATCAAATTATGTGACCCTGTGATTAACTATGAAAAACACCAGTGTTTCACTGCAGTGCTGTGTATATTATTATTCATACCCTTTTGAGGATCACCGAGTTCCCTGCCAGCCATCTTCGTGTTCTAGCGCTGTCACAGTGCAGGATACGTGTTGTTAGTGTCCCGTTTTCCTTGTGAAGAAGTCTTGTTTTCTTCTTGTCCCAGGTCCCAGCAGGCTCATGCTTCCCGTGGACTCAGAGAAAAGGCATACGGTAACTAAAATAAAATGCCAACAATTTCATGATTTGATCAGTTTCAGCCTGACTAAATCTGTTTAGTTTTGAGTGCTATTTCTTGCCTGTAATTCTTCTAGTGAAGGAAAACTGCTTTCAAGAGGACAGCATTCCAAATCCAAAACTACAAATAGAAAAACAAAACTATGTAAGTCTGTCTGGGACGAAGTGCAACCTAGTTGCTTCTTAGAGGCAAGGATAGTGGAACCACACCTCACATATTTCAGGCGTGTTGTCAGGCGGGGCCAGTCCTGACAGCACAAAGGGAATGGTGGGGGTCAGAGAAAGAGACAGTTCTTCAAGGTGATAGGCTGACAAAGTGACTGTAACAATGGGCTTGACTGTATCAGAGATGCTGAGGATGCGCAGGGGAGGGCAAGGTTCAGATCTGTGGCTCAAAGGGTCACTAGGGGTCGCAGTCGACTTCACCACACCTGACAACAGCATATAAACGGTATCAATCGGAGATAATATATTAAGCCATATGTAATAATTACTTCCCAATTGACTACAGCAATTAGAAAGGCTAGATGTGATACTAAGGGGGGCTGTGAATGTATGTTATTGGGAGAGGAACAATTTCCAAAAGGGAGAGAATAGCTGCATATCTTCAACACAAATAACTGATATGACTGAACTGTACGTGTTGACAGGAGCTGAAGGTGGATGCTGGGTTCACTGGGGGGTTCTTCTATGATTGTAAACCCATTATCATTGAGTCAATTTACCTTCATTATTTATAAAAATAAGATTAAAGATTGTTGAGGGTTAAATAGTAAAATATATGTGAAAGAATTTGTTCAGGTGATACTTGATAAAGTGATTATCCTTTTGCCAAGGACCTCTTCAAAATTCTAAAGAGCAAAAACGTCAGTTTAAAGACTAAGGTGCACCTGACCCAAGTAACGGTATTTTCCGATGCTTCTGATGCATCCATAAGTTTGATAATGAAGAATAACTGGTGTCTTTGAATTATGGTATTGGCAAAGAGTATTGAATACATCACGGACTGCCAAAAGAACCAATCTGTCTTCGAAAGTGCAACCAGAGTGCTCCTTAGGGACAAGAGTGGTGAAACTTTGTCTCAGTCACTTTGGGCACTTTTTTCAGGAGGAACCAGGAGAGAAATAACATGTTGGGAAAGGTAGTGAGTCAGTGAAAGAGAGGAAGAGCCTCAAAAATATGGACTGACACAGTGACTACCACAAAAGGCCTGAGCATGACAGAGACGATGAGGAAGGCTCAGGACAGGGCAAGGTTCAGACCTGTTGTCCATAGGGTTGCTGTGAGTCATAGTTGATTTGGTGGCAACTAACAAGAACAACACTGGAAGTGACTTTCCAGTAACTTTTCTTCTAACATGACTACTTTGCAAAATTTCACTTTGAAAATTAAGTCCCAGCAATTCCACTACCTGGAATATTCCCTAAAGAAACCTGAGCCACAACTCAAACAGATGTGTGCACACTCATGTTTATTGCTGTTAAAAAAAAACAAACCAACAAAACAAACAAACAAACAAGAAAAACCAAACAAACAAAAAATGGACAAACAAGGCTTACGGGAATCCCTGACAAAGTGGGTCTTACTTAGTCACCTTTCAAAAACTCACTCCTAAGGGAGCTCTGGTGGCCTAGTGGCAAGAAGCTGCACTGCATCCCAGAGGTACATGGTTCGAATCCACCAGATGCTCTGCTGGAGAAGGAGGACCAATCTTCTCCTGTACCAATCAGATCCGATTTGACGGTACACACACACAAAAGTATAAATTTTTTTTTAAATCACAATTAAAATTAAAAAACAAACAAACAAAAACGAAAAACTCACTCCTTTCTCTCAACTTTAAGCCAAACAACTGAGAGGCCTATAACATGGCTGAAAACATGGGGAGGCACTCACTCTTTAGAATAACCAACCACTTAACACATCAAGCCAGCAGCATGTGCCCTCCTGACAAAGCCCTGCAGGCATATGGGGAGAGCACAGGATTCATGAAGATGGTAATTACAGGGTGGGAGTGGGAAGAGTAAAATTACATTTTGAGTATTGTAATTAACTACATAAAACAAAAAGGGGTTGGCTAGACATTGTAATTAATTAGTTGCATTAGTCAATGGTAATTAATGTTATAGAACACAATGTCTATGAATTATTTTAGGATAAATAATTATTTAAGGATTACAATATGACTTGTAAACTTGCAAATAAAAGTTTTTCAAAAAGGAAAAACGTGTGTATAACATTTGAATGAAAAACAAATCTGCTTTGTTAACGTTCAGGGGGTACTCTTCTCCAACACCACAACTCAAAGGCATCAATTATTCTTTTGTCATCTTTATTCACTGTGCAGTTCTTAGATGCAAAGCAAGTGAATAAAAATAACATGAACAGAATCATATGTACCTTAGTCTTTAAAATGACCTAATTGCTTCTCAGAACTTCGGAGCGGTCCCTAACAGCAGATTTCCCAAATGCAACATATTTGTTGATTCCCTGACTGTTGGTACCAAAGGTGATGACTGTGGATATAAGGAAGATGAAATTGATAACAATTTCAATCTTTTCATCAATCATGATGTTTCCAATTGGCCCAGTCGTGAGGATTTTTGTCTCTTTTTTTAAAATGTGGATTGAAGAGCTTTAATCAAATAGTGTAGCGCACTACAAATTAATTTTCTACAGTAGTTTAAGATAAAACAATTACTATTTACAGTATTGAGAAACCAAGAGCCAATATTCATATGTCGTTGTTGTTATGTGCCGTCGAGTCGTTTGTGACTCATAGCGACCCTATGTACAACAGCTCTAAACCCTGCTCTATCCTGTGCCAATCTCATTGCCTCTGACACACCCATCCCGATTACCCCAGTCACTGAATCAATCCACCTCTTTGAGGGTATTCCCCTCCTGTGCTGTCCCTCTACCCTACCCAGAATGATGTCCCTCTCCAAGGACCTGTCACTCCTTACAACATGTCCAAAGTATGTCAGACAAAGCCCCAGAATCCTTGCATCCAAGGAGTAGCCTGGTTTAACCCTGGCAGTCCATGGTACATTCAATACTCTTCTCCAGCACCACAGCTCAAAGGCGTCAATTCTCCTTCTATCCTCCCTCCCTAGGCATTGTCCAACTCTCTGATGCATAACAAGTGATTGCAAAAACCATAGCCTGTATCAGGCGCACCTTAGTCTCCAGAGAGACACCGTTGCTCTTGAGTACTTTAGAGATGTCCCTAACAGCAGATTTTCCCATCGCAATATGTTTTTCTATTTCCTGGCTGCTGGTGCCAAGAGTGTTGACCGTGGAACCGAGCAAACTGAAGCTGTGAACAATCTCAATCTCTTTGCCATCCATCCTGATGCTACCAATTGGTCCAGTGATGAGAATCTTTGTCTTCTTGACATTAAGCCACAGTCCATAATGAAGGCTGCAGTCCTTGACCCTCTGCAGCAAGTGCATGAGGTCCTCCTCAGTTTCAGCGAGTTTCATATACATTTTTCTATTACAGAAAGTTTTATATAAATCAAAGTGCATGAAATCACTTAGAATATATTCTCCATTCTTCCTCTTAAAGCTGAAGAAAATTCAACATGCAGGGGGAAGCTTAATCAGGAACACTTCCTAACAAATATAGACTTAGCTTGGCCCCCAAGACCACACCGAAAACTGCCAGGGAGTTTGGGGGTATGTGTGAGACCAGCTCTGGGGCTGGAAAAACCAAGAAGGAGTTGGACCTGGCTTCCACAGGAGTGTTGGATCTGTTTCTGGAAAGCCTTGACCTACTCAAACCTCTGGGGAACTCTCCTGGAATATGAAAAAGGGAAAATATTTTTCAAAAGCAGGCTTCTTGTCAAAATGACAACAAAGAAGGGCCCTTTATTTCATATGCCCACCAACTAAATGGACAATGGCATTCTTAACACTTGGTACTTTTTGGTAAAATGCTTGTCTGTCAGACACTGTTCTAAAAACTAAGCATCCAGATTAAGACAGACTAGGAAGGATTGGCCATCCTCATCCGAAATATAACAGGCCTTTGAAGACCCTATGTACAGTACTGCACACTTACAGTAGACTAACAGATAACGGTAACTGAGGCTGAGCCCTCTAATTTGGAAACACAAAGAAGGAAGACCAGTTATAAGCAGACACTAAGGATTGGAATATTGAATGTGAGAAGCATGAATGTAGGAAAAGCGGGCATCATTAAGAAGGAAATAGAATGCATAAATAGTGACATACTAGGTAGTGGTGAAATGAGATGGACTGGCATGGGACATTTTGAATCAGACAATCATATGATCTTCTATGCCAGGATGAAAAGGTGAAAAAAAAAACCCAACAAAAAATGGGGTCGCTTTCCTAGTTAAAAAGGTAATTTCTAGATCCACCTTTAAATACAATATTGTAACAGGATAATATCCATATGCACACAAGGAAGACCTGTTAATACTACTACCATTCAAATTTATGCACCAATAACCAAAGCCAAAGAGAAGGAAATAGATGATTTCTACCAACTGTTGCAGTAAAAAATTGATCAAGCATAACCAAGACGAATCAATAATAATGGATGACTGGAATGTGAAAAATGGGGACCAGAGAGGATAAATAGTTGGAAAATACGGGCTTGGTGACAGAAATGAGGCTGAGGATAGAATGATAGAATTCTGCAAAATCAATTCCTGTAAATACCTTTTATAGGAAACATAAACACAAACTATATACATTGGATTTCACCTGATTGGATGCACAGGAATCAGATCGATTACATCCATGAAAGGAATTGTTGGAGGAGTACAGTATTAGCAGTGAAAAGTAGGCCAGGTGCTGACTGTGGAA